GTGCACGCCCGCGCGCGCGCGAACATAACAGAACCATTCTAGCAATCATCCGGAGGGATCTTTGACTAAAACTGTTAAAAAAAACCAATCGGGGCTACAGGGGCGGGACTAACCCCTCCGAACTGAGTTCAGTGCGAAGCCAGCCTGAGATGGACAACAGCGTTATCTGCGGGCTCCGGGCAGGCGGCCCAGCGGAACAGAGGGCTCCTGAGTCCCACGGAGAGAGAAACCCCAGCCTGGCCCTGAGCGCCGCGGACAGCAGGGGAGGGTCCTAGCGGCGGGGAGCGTGGGTTCCGGTTGCAGGGGTGACTGAAACCAGAAGGCGAGGCAAAAAGGAAAGACAGGGATGGGGATGGTGGAGGCACAACCCCCAGTTCCTCAGCACTAAGTCTAACGGCGGAATCCTCCGGGGGCCGGAGGGAGCTGCGCCAGGCGGGGTGTGCCGATTCCCAGGCCCTCCCCCCCGGGCCCGCCGCGGTCGGGCTTCCGACAGGCGCCGAGGGAGGACGCGGCCCCGGGACCGGGGGGCGACACTCACGTCTCCGATCTGCAGCTCCACTTCCTCCAGCCCGCCCGCCGTTCGGCCGCTGCTCCTGCTTGGAAGTGGCCAGTCCAGACTCACTGGGACGCCGGGGGAAGATGTTGAAGAGGCGTCAGAAGACGAGGGAGAGAAGGGAGGCGGCGGGGACTGCGAAGAAACCCGCACCTCCCCGGAGTCTGCCATGGAGGAGCGCTGGGACCTCCGAGTCGGAACTTAGCGGGACCGACACCAACTGTTTTTCAACTGCTCGCGCCCGAAGCCCAGAGGCCCCGCCTCCTCTCCCCCGAAGTCCCGCCCAGTCTCCTTGTGGGAACCTGCCCGGTACCGCGAAGATGGTTCAGTTTTTTCGGGACAGCCAATCAGATATCAGTCAATTCACCTTGGGCAGCACACTGCTCCTGCGCAAAGCTCCGAACAGGCTTTGACGGCTCTTCAGTAGAAGACTACAACTCCCAGGATGCCGTACGCACCGCCCCGCCTGCCACTGCTTTTTGCTGCGTGCGCGTTGCACTATGGGACTCGTGAGACCACAGCACCGACACAATCCACAACCTGAAGCCGCGGGCTGCGCTGGGACTTGGAGTCCCTTTCCTTTTTCTCCTTGGGTACGTGACCCGGAAGCCTCTGCTGGCCATTGCGTTTTGCGTGGCGCCGGCGCAGAAGGAGAAAGAGGCGGGAACGCCGTGAAGCCTTAGCCATCTGCTGAGCAGAGAGGCAAATTTCAGCAGACAGGTTGGTGCTTCCGGGCGGGTGATGGCGCCCCGCGAGGCCTAGAGCTCCAGTGCCCCCGGCGAGCCACTGACAGTCCTCCTTCCGCTGTGTCCGACGAGAGTCCTGATTACAGTGAACATGTTGATGCCGCTAGCCAAGCTGTCCTGCCCGGGTGAGCGGGAATTTCGGGAGGGGAATAAGTGGGGAAAGGTCGAGTAGTTAGGGAAAAACGGACAGGGTCACACGTGGGGACTGTAAGCACCTCGTCCTCCCGTTTCTCCTTTCGTCGCCTTCCTGAAGCTAAACTAGGACAAAGGTCACGCTGCCTGCACCTGGTGGTGGGCCCCGGGATCCTCCCGGCATTGGTTGTCCCAACCCAAGAATTGACAACTAGGCTAAAGGTCATGAGCGGAAGAAATTTATCAACACGGCCCCTCTGTGGACTCCTGAACTGAAATCATCCCAGATCCTGGCCCCGACCCTTATCCCAAAGCTAAGGAGTTGTCTGTTGCATTGTTGGAAATGGATAAAATAATATTTGCACTTTTTCTCCTTGATCTTGACCTGAGTTGCGGCTTTGCTGCCATCCTAGCCCATTTTTAATAATTTGAAGTCTGATCTGTCACATCGTGATCAACATTCAAATGCTGCCTGAGTCACCATATTATATCGGAGCCAGGAATTTTTCTACATTGTCTAAAATTAACTCTAGGGACTTATCGTGTCTGGGTGCCTAGATCCCTCACGATGACTCTGAAAATACATTACCTCTCCTTTCGCTTAAAAAAAAAAGTAGAATGATGCAGTTGCATTGTGTTTTGTTTTGTTTTACTTAAAAACAAAATAAGTTTTAAAATTTCAAAAAAAGTTCGCTACAGTATCTCAAATTCTCTCACAACTGGCTTAAAATTTTTTTTATCTTACTTAAGTTAATTTTCTATTATGGAATAAATGAGAATACATATTGCAAATTCAAGGATGTTCCAATATAAATTTCATTAAAGTGGAATTCTGTCAAATTTGGCCGTTATATATCAAATAAGTAGAATTTTGTTTAAACCTCCTTTTACTCATGCATGTATTACTACACCTGATGTGTAAATATGTTGTGGGGGGCGGGGGAGTTCGAATATCAAACTAGTCAGATGCTGTCTGCCCTACTGCCTAATTTAGTTGAAGTTAGAAGTCATTCTTGGACCAAGTGCTAACAAAATTCACCAAAATTACCATTTTCATTTTCCTTGAATGCTTAAATCATTGTCATTTTCACAGCCTCATGTTAGTACTACTGCAAAGATATGGGCAAAAAGGCACTGTCCGTGTGACTTTGATAAGGTGATATTATGAGTTCATTGGACTTTTGAGCTCACTTCTTTACCAAAACTCAGCCCAAGTGCCTAAGTGTACACATCTTTAAAGTGAAATATCAGGTTTGTTTTCAGAAAAGGAGTAAAGGTCATGACTTTTTTTTTTTTTTTACCCCAGGAGGGAATCAGACTACCCAGTTCCAAATATTCTCAAGAAAATCACTAGCTGTATGAGCAATAGAATTAGTTTTGTCTGATACCAAATCATTAGTTTTCAGAAGCCAATGATAACTTCTAAACATTAAACTACAGTAATGCTACACTAAACTAAAACTTAAAATAGTTTTGTCTTTTAATAAAAATATAAGTATTTAATAAATATTCTTAAATTTTCTTTTGAATGATGATATTACTATATTTGAACTCTGGAACTGAATTCTCCTCTAATATCTTTATGTATCTTATACACATTTTTTAAGATTTAGGATATGTGAAAGATTATGGTTTAAAAATTATTCCCAATAAAACAGTTTTTAGTATGCATTTGCAAAGAGAGAAAAGTAATTTACTTGCCAACTTAAGAGTGATTATCAAAAACAGATTTTTAGTGTTTAAAAGGCTTTTAGCATTGTCACTCCAAATCTCTTGCCCTTCTACATGCATCATAATCTTTAATTATTGATTGTCTGGTTCCAGATTTTTACTTCTGTAAAAATATATATATGTGTGCGGATGGATGGATGGATGGATGGATGGATGGATGGATGGATGGATGGATGGACGGACGGACGGACAGACAGATAGACAGGTGGTAGATTTTACTGGAGAGCTCTGGCCAGGTGGCTAAGTTGGTTGGCCTTGGGCGGGTAAGGGAAGAAACAATCGATGTTTCTCTCTCTCTCTCTCCCCAAAATCAATAAACATATCCTCAGATGAAGATTTTTAAAAATTATTTTATTGGAAAGAATAAAACATAAAAACATATTAATTCTGCAATTGGGTTTAAAGAATAAAAATAATTATCCTGTGCCAGGTTGTCATCTCTCCGTTAATTAGAAAAGAAATAAAGGAAGAAAACTTGTTTCACCACAGCTCAGGTTCTATCACTTCAGATATCATTTCAAATCCACTGTAGCCTTAGAACTTGATTGATGATGGAAGAATTGAGACTCAGCTTGGTTGGGATCATCTTAATTTCTATTTATCTACTGTAAATGGGGATTGTAGCTGCTCCAAAAATCTCATAAGGTCATGAAGGATAAGATGTGGAAAATTAAAATGGAAAATTCTTAACTCTTCAGTATGTCTATGAAAATGTAAACTTTATTATATATAGGGGGGACAAAAGTAGGTTTACAATTGTAAGCATTCGAAACAATTTATTCTTGTATTATTATTTTCCATACAAACTCCTGTAAACCTACTTTTGCCCAACCTTGTATTCCAAATCCATGCTAAGGTCTTGGTTGATCTTTACTATTTATTTGTTATAGTCCATATTTAGAAAAGTGTTCATTTGCAGATAGATGCTGCATTATAAGAGACAAGTTAAAAATTAGAGAAGTCCTCATTATTATTATTGCTCTATAACTCAGGAATTAGTTTTAGGAAATTAAACCAGAGATTTGCATGTTCCTGGACAGCTGAAGTTTTAACTAGGAAGTTCCTGTCCAGTTAACAAATATATTAGCTACTTGCTTTGTGTAAGACGTATACTAGATCCTACACCATAGTATTTCCAAGGCAGAAATGGACCATAAACTTCAGAGCTGATGTGATTAAGGAAGAGTTAATTAACTTGCTGAAAGTTTTATTGCTATTAATGAATTCAGACACAAGGTAGACAGACTCCAAAGCCTTTGCACTTAACCACTCAATTTTTACATGTTGCCCTTTTTTATGTTTGTTTTTAGTTAATAAACTTTATTTTGCTCAGTTTTTAATTAAGTTGTTTGTTTTCTTGTTGAGTTTTATGAATTCTTTGTATATTTTGGATACCAGCCCTTTATCAACTACATATTTTGCAGATATTTTCTCCACTCTATGAATTGTCTTTTCATTCCCTCATGTTGGTCTTTTATTACTTCTGATTTATAACTCTAGCTTGCCTTTACACAAAGAATGACACTAAAAAAAGCATTAGGTTATTTTATAAAACCATGGATGAATCATAAAGGAATATTATAATGAAGGAGAGTATAAAAAGGACTGTCTGATATTCAACCAACAAATATTTATACCTGTAAATATTAGGCTAAGAGTGGAATTTAGCATATAACAAGGAAAAGATAAATACTTAGGACTATGCTATCTATTGATAGCATACAGATAATTAAACAAGACATTTATGTTTATGTCATTTCTGGTCATATAGATGTTTTAAATTTTTAGTCAAATGATTTAATGATTTTTGAGATTTTTCTACATACTTAGAAAAACCTTTCCAAATCCAAGATTCTTAAAAAAAAAAAAAAAAATTCCAGTGTTTTCCCCATAATCTTTTGTATGTGATTATAAATGTTCTTTTTTAATAACAGGTTTATTGAGATATGTTACATACCATACAGTTCACACCATCTGAAATGTACATTTTAATGGTTTTTAGTGTATTCACAGAGTTGTGCAACCACTACCACAGCCTATTTTAGAATATGTTCATCACTCCAAATAGAAACCCCGTCCATACTCATTAGCAGTCACTCCCCAATCCCTCCAGCACCAGACAACAACTAATCTACTTTCTCTCTATAAATTAGTCTATTCTGGATATTTAATGTACATGGACTCATAACGTGGGTTTTTTGTGGCTGGCTTCTTTCATTTAGCATAATATTTTCAAGGTTCATCCATGTTCTAGCATATGTCACTAAATTTCTTTTCACTGCTGAATGGTATGCCATTGTATGGATATATCACTTTTTATTTATCAATTCGCTAATGAACATTTGAGTTGTTTTCACTTTTTGGCCATTATGAATAATGCAACTGTGAATATTTGTGTACAAGGTTTTGTGTAGACATATGTTTTTATTTATCTTAGGTATATACTTAGGAGTGAGTCATATGGAAACTCTATGTTTAACATTTTGAGGAACAGCCAGACTGTTTTCCAAAGTGGCTGTACCATTTAACATTCCCACTAGCAGTATTCAAGGATTCCAGTTCCACCACATGCTCATTATCACTTGCTATTACCTGCCTTATTGATTACAGCCATCCTAGTGGATATAAAGTT